TTCAAGTCAATGATTGCTCTTGGGAAGCAGAATTGTTTTCTATAGAATAAAGTGTTTGATAGGAGAATGAATTTTAAAAATCTTGTTTGTGGTGTTTTGGGGTTTTCGGTTCGACTGACGCTGTGCTGTGTGTAAATGTAAACACCATGGGGAGGCGTGCATCTTTACGTCTGTCCAAAAGAGACTGCGTCTAGTACATTATGTAGCTTCCACTCACACTAGACGTTGATCTAATGGTGACATATCCCGTACCATTTCCAATTTGCTATTGTCATATTTGTAACAGGGGCCCCAAACAGGAGGTGGGTACTCGCGAGATGGACGGACAAGAGATTCATCAGTGTTTTTTGTTTTATTTTTGCTGGAACTTATTTCTATTTTTCTTCTAAAAACTCCTAGAGTCGTATAAGCTTTAACTGTAATGTCGTTTATGAGGGTCTCCCATTTCAGTGTATAGTGACTCCTAAGTAGTTAGCCTTGTCAACATGTTGAGGAGAGATGGTTATATAGGGTAGAGTGTTATTGTAGACTGTGGGGGATCTATTGCGACAGGCAAAGAGGATGGTAGATTTTTCTGAGTGATAGGCAATTTCTATTTTCTTCCTAAGATTAGAATATATATAAACCAGACGGTAGGGTTTCCGCATCAGTACAGTCAGATTCACAGTACATTTCTTTCATTTCCAAAGATTTCAAAGTTTGGTGGAAACATCTCGGAATGTTTTATAGAAGGACTGAGCTATGTCTGTGTGCCAATATTGATGTCTGGTTGCAGATGTTGTTTATGTTTGAATGCTTTGAATGGGATATTCTGATTTTTAATTGGACTTTATTATTGGGAAACAGCAAATTTCACGCAGGCTTAAGTTCAAGTCCTTTATTTAGCTTTGAGCAAGTAGCTCATCAGCAAATCAACCCAATGCATAATATGTCATGTCATGGCAACAGTATTCAGTGCAAAGAAGTTGCAGTATACAAAGGCACGGGTACATACATAGAGGATATTTAATGTTGTCTTCAGGTAATAAAAAATACATTTCACTCGTGAACTGCGCACTCGTGCAAAATATAAAAATATTAGCCACACAAGTGAAATATATTTGTTATTACTGAAGACACCATTGAAGTTTCTATTTATTACATTTTTAAAGCGTAAAACATGAAAAATGAATTGCATTTAAAAAAGGGGCGGGAATCAGAAGCGTAATTGTTAGCACCATATTCTAATGACGTCACACTTGACAACAAGGCTGCGCGCCATTTTGAATGGGATACTCAACGCGAGGGGTTCTGCTATTTTCTGGTATGCTTGCTTATAAAAATGTCATTACTAGTACAAATATAACAATAAAATAATAATAAAACAGTGTGAAAAATATCAGTTTAATCAAGTTGCTAGAATCCGATATTTCACTGGAAAATATGTAATAAGTTGTATTATCATAAGACAATGTAGTAATATAACCATTATGTATAATTAGACAGTTAAGAAGGACTTCTTTATCTAATATTGTTCGTTTTAAAGATAAACTTAATTACTTCCAGATTTTTTATGCACTTGATATCTGAGTTAACTTGTAAGCAGATGGATAACGTCAGTAGTACTTCTTAATGAAATTAACTCTGATTATTTGATGGATAGGACATATAGGTAAACAATGATATTCATTATCGATCGCATTACATTAACATTGATTACAGAACCTCTGTGATCATTTCAGTAATATTATTATTTAGTCCTGTCTCGACAGACAAGCAATGCCATAGAGGCGTGGTGATGTGTGAGATTTAGGTTTTTGCCTTTACTTTTATACCAACGTTACAGACATGCGCAGTGATGTTATGTTAGGCTACTACCAGTGCTATTTTATATATGGTGGTGGATTCCCTAGAACTATTTAAAGATCGTTTANCGTTTAAAAAAAAAAAAAAAAAAAAGGAAACGTGTTCGCAGACACTGAACTAATTTTATGCGATAATTAAAGTTTTGGTTGCACATTTTCTGAAAATGTCACGTTTTATAATATTTCAAACATTGATTTCACGTTTCTGATTTTTTAAGCACATTTTGTGTACAATATGTAGTTGTGTGTATGTTGATACAGGCATCGTTGATGTGTCCTTGCACATATCTCATACTGATACATGTACTTGGCTGAACACACGCACCTTAGTTGTGTGCGCCTTCGCAAGATTTAAACGTGTGCGTTGATTCGTGTATCAAATCATTCGTGTATAAATTTTGGCTCTTTATGATTTTTGTAACAGACAGAAACAATGTCAAGTTATGATTAACACGACCGTGTGTGATGGTTATATACGATCGCACCACAGGTGTCTAACAAACAGGTATATAGATATAATTGCCTGATGAACTAAAGTAAGCCTCGTATGGATTAAGTGAAGAGCGTATTCTGTAACAGTTCATTAAGACTCATTTCCCTTCGTCAAGTCTTGCATGCAGCCAGATAAACATCAGATGACCCTAGTTTTCTTTCCGTGTCTTTATCTTCATTACACAACCAGATACTCGTGAACAACTGATAGAATCAATTCATCTCTAACAGGAAATATCTTTCAAAAATCGAGGCTGTAGTGTTTGATGTATAACGGTAATAAAAACGTATTTTCGATTCACAAGTTATTACAACTTAACACGAAACTGTGCTGACTCTCTTTGCAGCACGTATTTCTCGTTTCATGTTGTTTAGAGATATGCTTTTTTGCACCTCTTAAAAACGTGTGTTTTCTAATTTCTCTCAAACATGAACTTTTAAGCCTGTACTATCTTCTGATGTCGTATTTGGTTTTAACTTAACGCTGAATGTGTAGTCAGCTTACATCCCCTGCAAAATGTGTTTGACCATGCAATTAATCTCACGAATAACAATCCGGAAGAACTAAAAAAAAAAAAAAAAACCCAGCAAATCTTGCTATCAGTATTTCTCTATGTTATTCTGGAATAAACATCTTGTTTTCAATCTTACTTTTAAGTGTGGTTCGTCTGATGCGAATGTACATGTACATCGAAACAGCTCACATTTCCAGGTTTTAAGCTCATCAAAATAATGTACGAGAAATTTCCCCCCTCCCGTAAGGGGGGTTTGGTGGATCTCCCCCCCCCCCCCCCCCCCCNTGTGTTTTCTAGAACGTCTCAGAAGCGATTTCCCGTGTTTTGAGGATTGTTTTTATGTTTAATTAACAAGAAGAAAAAAACATATTTTAAGTATGGCCCAAAGACTTTTTTTGTGTACTGGAAAGAAAATTGAAAATTAAAGTTTCGGTTCAAATTCTCTATCAACAGCCTGTTTTAGAAGTCAGATGGTATTATTATAGGGGCAACCTGGTGATGACAAATGTATAAATCCACAGGGGGCTTGTTCATTATGACCTAATTTGGCGTCCCGCCCGCAAGGGGGATACGAGCGGTCCACCGTCAAAAAATAAATGTAGGGACGCACAATATCTAGTCTTCAGACATTGTACCTACAGTACAGTACTTCATGAAATAGTTTGTCGTACAAAAGACCAAATAACACCATAACATCGTTGCTGTTTAATTAATGAGTTACTGGCATCACTAAGTTGCAAAACAAACGGATAAGTTCAAATCAGTGCGACACCCAAGGCCACTAGCTACATAGTCTCGCGTTTTATAATTGTTGACTAATTCACTAGTGTAGACAATGATATATCTGAAATGTCCACGCTGATTAACTCATGTAAGGGTGTGCATATTACCAACAGTGGTACATTTGCTAAGCTATCTGGTTAACATGGTACAACTTAGGAGGCACTTACGCGTCACCTTTAAATTTATTTTAAAATTATCATACTTGTAAGTACAGCATATCATCTTATTCTGGTACGTACAACTTATTACTACGTACACAACAGTATGCTGTGTGAAGATACTTTCTTGTTCGTACACGATGGTAAGCTATAAGTACCGCAATGAGATACTATGTTGTACATACAAGATAGTTAAACAGTTCCAACAATATATACAATACCAAAATAATTGAATGGATATGTTTAGTCGATTATACATAATATTGTCAGCCGAAAAAAAACTTTATCGTAAAGATATGATTAATATCGCCCGGGCGGTTAGGAAGGTTACATTAAAACATATATTGGAGCGGCCAATAATATAATTATGCAATTTACGCTAGTATATTTCCGCCGAGCGTTGCAAGTTGCAACTTGGGGTTTTGCGGAGGTGGTAAAATAAAAAACACACTTTAGGATCAAGATATAAGGTAGACGAGCGTAGCGATGCCAACAAATATTGTTTTAATAAAGTAAATATAGTAAAAATATCAGATAACGGAAACCCACAATATTTGCTAGGATGCCGTATGGGAATGTGTGGGGCGAAATTTTTTTTTATACAAGCTCCGTGCATTATTAGATACATTTTAAAATGTTAAGATGTTCCCATTACCGGTCGATCAGAACATTTCGGGCCGGCCCGGAAAAGGTCAGTCCGCCGCTAAAAGGTGGGGCCCGGGGGTGTGTCCCCCCCCCCCCCCCCCTTAAATCCGCGCCTGCATCGATATCACATAAGGAATGAACGGGTCTCATGGAATTTCCAAATGTAATAACATGTAACGTTACAATTTCAAGGTCAAAAATATAATGACGTCACGTAACCCAGTTTCTCTATCCTGTCTTGATAAGCTACTTTTTTCGAAAACTATTTATAATTTTATAATGCATTTGATTTTTCGAAAATGTATATTTGAAGAAAAAACTCCTTTGCTCACTTTGCGTACTAACAACAATAGTGTTGTTTAAACTTTATTGAGTCTGAGTTAACCAAAACATAACTATTACAGTTGTACATTATGTAAATACATGTAACAAGCCATTGGGACTGAACCGAGTATACGCTATATGTTGTGTAGACTGGCTACCATCCCCTAAGTTTTTATGAAGAATTTCTCAGCTGCATTTTACTACTAGCTCATCTTCCCCTAGTTTAGAACTTAGGGTGTGCAGTATCCTTTAACCTAAACTGATTATACAAGTAATGAGTGTTTGATCTCTATGTGCCGGTATATATGTAATGTAAATGCATGTAGACATTTTCATAACAGATGTATATTTTATGTTCTTCGTGTAATTGTATAGCCCGTATTGGCCTCTATACAAGTGTACTTTAATCACCCTTAAGCTATATTGCTATGCCAAACTGCAATAATTATATTGAATGTATGAATGGCTCTATAGGACTGATGAGGATGACACCGATTTACGCTGTGATCCACGTGAGCTGCTCGGGATGAGGAGGAGCGCTTGATACGGAGGCTGCTTGGAGAGCTGTATTGACACTGGACCAGTAAGGTGTGTGTGTGTACACAGTGTTGTATTCCGAGCTGAAGTATAAACCCAAACTCTCCTAGCTGTGTGGTCTCCCGACTTGTATCCACGGACCCTCTCTTAGCTATTGTGTATAGCGCTGATCCCTACTCTTTGCCGGACACTTATCGGGGGTGTACTACTGATCCTTGTTATTTCGGAGATATTAGGCAAGCTCTACTTATCCAGACTACACCGGATTGCAATAAACCCCGACCTATCATAAGTACCATCCGGGACAAAAATCCCGACTCTTTATTCTCCAGAGAATGGCGGACTCAGCTAGAGATGAGTGTGACCGGCGAAACATCGTGGTTTTGGCAGTGGACACAAGCGAGCATTCGGAGTGGGCATTTGACTGTAAGTTCAATCTTAATCTATATCAGGTGTTGTATGTATATCTACCCTTAGTCTGTATCACGTGCTTACCCTTACTTTGTATCACGTGATTATATATATAAATGTATCTACCATTTGTCCCTATCCTGTGCTTCTGTACCTCTACCCTGATCTCGATACGAGCAACTGATTACATAAGTCTCAGTATTCTCTTACATAAGCAAAGCATGTATCCCTAAAGTATCTAGTCACGTAATTCTGTAACGTGCAGTCACGTGATTGATATGTCCGCCATGTGAAAGCACTGTTGCGAGACTACAGATTATCATACCCCTGTCACGTATATACTGGGTATACGATATGTATTATATAACAGTTGCACGTTCAACATCGCTGGCCCAGTGTTAAAGCATCTTACAGATTATGTGCAGTGTCCTACGGGATCCCAACCTAACAATTGTCGCTTAAAACCTTTCGATTGCTGTCTTGTCCACAGCGAAAAGCTTGTGCAATCGTTGTAAGTCATAGGACCCTAGAGTATGGGGCACATGTGTTTATTGCTGTCTCTAAATCCCAAGACTGGCTTCCTTACAGTTATATTTAACATATAACGGGAACGGCTATGTTGACTTTGGTACATACCAACGCCATCATTCCGTCACGGTGTTAACCAATATAAAACGTCACCCTAATTGCCCTATTCCGACCTTCACCTCACCTCCGTACGCGCAGGGGCTGTCTTTCAGTGAATAGTCGCCTGTACTGATAACGTACATATACACGTGCCAGACGAATGGTAGAGGAGACTCCTCTAATCATCATAGAGTACCTGGAGCATAATCTTCAGGTTTTACAAACAAGCGTAATTGCACAAGATGATCAATAATGGCTCCATGCTGTTTCCGCTAAAAGCAATCTTCTTCAAACTCTATCGATTGTCCTTGTGACGACAGCACTTGGTTTTGTTCGCCTTTCTTTTCTACGGCCATTAACTGGTTGGTCATGCTGGGAGAAGAGATGGGGGTACGGGCGTTTGTGGTATCGATTTGTTCTCCTCCCCAGTCCAAGGTCACCTCACACCGAACACATTAACGACAACCATTAGTCGTGTAAACTGAGTACACATAGTACAGTATGTCCGTTAGCTGGGTCGGTCTTCTGGTGGAATTGGACCTAAATAAAGTGTTCGTCTTTCCCTTTATCCCTCTTCTTCTTTTTCCTCCTCCAATGATCTGCATACCACCTATCCTGTATTGCCGCAGATGAAGGACGGACATCCCTGAACAATATGTAGTGTAAGGTATATAAAATTATTTGTCTTCAGATGTTCCTCGTCAGTAGGAGTTACAATATACCTGCCCCTAGCACTCATTAGTTGTTTCAAATAAAACATGTACCTGACTGAAACATATGCACAGTTGTCCTGTCACCATCAAGTAAAACCCCCTCATCAACAGTAGCCTGACACAAACCTACGTTTTCACAGATGCCTGATTTCGCTTATAATAACTAGAATCTAGGACAAACACATTTGTCGGTCTTCTTAAGACCATTAAGTACTTGACCCACACACGTGTAATAGTTCTCCTGATAGATAACATGTTGTTGTGCCATACACGTGCACGATACGTATATTCACACACGCTCATCATTTTATCTACATAAAACATACATGTATTTGTTTTGCCACATGTATGCATCATTTTATCTACAGATTACGTGCATGTATATCCAGACACGTGCATCAATTTGCATACATATTACATACATATATATCCAGAAATGTGCATGGTCTTCCTTTAGATATAAGATATCCACACATATGTATGATTCCATTCACCATATTACTTTAGATATTGACGTTAGCACTTATCACACTCTCGCTCAGTCAAACGTTGCTTACAGGATTATAAATCTAAGCAACATTTATTATTTACGAAGTACAATTGATTTAAATCATAGATATGATGCTCTAAGTGTTTCACTTAATCTAGGAATCTAGTAGGTACCGAATTCAACCAACATGTTCCAAAACGCAGATTTATAGACAGTATCGATAGCTAAGGTCGTGCCATTGAAAGTTAAATGTTTTGTTTGTCTGTATTAATGCGAGGCCCCAGATTGGACTCACATTGATATTTCAAGCGCGTAAATGTGCGTCTACCACCAAACGAATGAATCTGGCCACCAAAATGGTGACATTTGAATGTATTCCGATAGAGCCACTTAAATGACTCTAATGAGAAAAAAATCTATTACTTGTACAACATTCAAATATAGAGTACATGTAGTTGCAGTGTTACAAACATAGGAGCAACTAACACACAATATAAACAAAAACATTCAGCTGGCCTAAGTGGGGTCGGCCAAAACTGCACCCACTCAATATAATGCAAAACTCATCAGCTGACATAAGGGGTAGGAAGAGGGTAGGTTTATGCAGTGCTTCTATATGCTTTCCAAAATGGCTGCTGAATGGATAAGGGGTGTATGTACATTTGTATGTTATTGCTAATGGAATGTTAAGAACTATCGTAACAGAAGTCGATCGTCGCCATAATTGTTTTCTACACACATCTGTCAGCAGGGGGAATACAGCGCCTAAATCATGTACTTGTACAAAGAGGAGCAATGTTGTCCCTCCATTCGACAGCCATTAACATCACAACACGTGCTGGTTGTCCCAGGCGTGATAATATCCGGAACAGAGATATAAAACATGTAAACATAAAACATCAATCTACTTATCAGTACACAACAGCCGGTCGACAGGCGACCATCCCTCAGACACGTACACACAATGTTATATCATCATATACGTAACTAATATTTGGTGTTGTACGAGGTTTGAACTCTATACCTTTCATTACTTTATCCATCACACTACTGATAAGGCCATTCTAGATCTAATCAAGTATATTCACTGTTATATATCTGCTGACTGATACCTGGTAAGTCTGGTATTACCGGACAAATAAGGTCGTGATTGACTTCCTGTTTACCAGAAAATGTCCCAGTATAGAAACGATCGACTTCCTGTTTATTTGTCAATGTCTCAGTGTAAAAATGATCGACTTTCTGTTAACTTGTCGATGTCTCATTGTAGAAATGATCGACTTCCTGTTTATTTGTCGATTTCTCAGTGTAGAAATGATCTACTTCCTGTTTACCTGTCGATGTATCAGTGTAGAAATGATCTACTTCCTGTTTACCTGTCGATGTCTCAGTGTAGAAATGATCGACTTCCTGTTTACCTGTCGATGTCTCAGTGTAGAAACGATTGACTTCCTGTTTGCTTGTCGATGTCTCAGTGTGAAAATGATCGACTTTCTGTTAACTTGTCGATGTCTCAGTGTAGAAACGATTGACTTCCTGTTAACTTGTCGATGTCTCAGTGTAGAAACGATCGACTTCCTGTTTACCTGTTGATGTCTCAGTGTAGAAATAATCGACTTTCTGTTAACTTGTTGATGTCTCAGTGTAGAAACGATCGACTTTCTGTTAACTTGTCGATGTCTCAGTGTAGAAACGATTGACTTCCTGTTTACCTGTCGATGTATCAGTGTAGAAATGATCGACTTCCTGTTTACCTGTCGATGTCTCAGTGTAGAATGGATTGATTTCCTGTTTACCTGTCGATGTCCCGTTGAAGAAAACGATCGACTTTAAACCGGGGGATGTTTCGGTGGAAGGATTTAAATCTAGCTGATGGTTCCTAGCAGACGATCTTAACCTTAAAACCGTTCAAGCCTCAGCAATCTCAAAATTTCTAATCTTAACCTTAATTATACAAACTCCTCAATCAAGTTTTGTCACTGCATACTTCCAGTTCTTCACTGTAATTATTATAACCCAAAATCTCTGTACGATATCACAAATATCACTCTTGCTTACGAATGCCGAATTGAAAACTGACATTCGCCATATATTTTTATGCTGGAACACACATGTATCGAAATATGTTTTACAATTTCAGAAGTTACCTATTGGTTATTAAGGTGTACTAAAATTGCAGCTACACTACCATTAAACTGGCAGGTGATACCTGAAATTGATATAGATATAAATCGAAGTCAATCATCATTTGTCGTGTATATTTTATTGATCGTCCAAGGAGGACTTATGGAGACAGAATAACAATACCTATACACTTAGCATTGCCTCGAGTTTCCACTTCCTGTCCCTGGTGTTTGGTTCTATCGGTAGGTCACGTCCTGGTCGGAAAGCCCTTTCTACAACACGCTAAGTCACAACGGAATTATCGGTGTGTGGAGGTTTAAAACACCGAGCGCAATGAAGTCACTTACAGAACAATTAAGCTCTTCGTTCAATGTTGCTTAACGATTATTTCAAATTTTATATAAGGAACCCAATCTATATATTTTACAATTTTACGTTTATTGTGTGGGAACACTCGACTCTTCTTTTTGGTAACATTTGCCTTAAAACATGGTAACACTGTGGTAGCGGCCAGTCTGTGTATTGATCGTAGGGTTTGTCTTTCTATGAGAACCGCTATCCCGGGTTACACGATGTTTATCGTCAATTGGGCACCAGAAACATAAACAAGTTTTACAGCTATACAATCAATTTACTTAACGTCCTTGTAACACTTCACAGCCTAGCGGAAAATGAAGGGCAGTAACGTCGGTCCGCATACCGCCACAAGTACGTCTCATTAACGCGTGTTAAACGCGTGTTTATTTACCCGTTGCCCGTGCAAGGCACCTGTAGGTTTTACGCTCGACCAGTGGCTGGTAGATCCCAGGCCTGCTCGATTAAAAAATGTTTGTTTTATTTGTGTGGAGGCAATTACCATGCTCGAGAGCAATTCCATGGAGCTGCTGGAAGGTAGGTTAATGTATTTGTGAGGGTGTACGTAGGGCAGTGTTAAGCGAACCGATAACGCAAAATAGTGTTACGGCGGGTGGCATTTATTATATTGGATGTTCTGTCAGCAATTTCATATAGCTTTACGTATGAGAAAGGACTTGTATCGATAATCGAACTCTCAAAGTTTC